GTGTGATGGAGGTCCATGGAAGGAAAATAAGTTTAAATCAAATAAGCAAAAGAGGATGCGGTTAAAATAAATAAAAGGTATTCACGCAATGCTTTGAACGCAATGTTTTGAACATCCAAAACATGTCCAACACTTTAGCTGGCTGCTTGTGCTCTTTAGGTCAGACGTGTTCGGACTGTCGGGAAGCTCCTCCGTTGTTTTCCTCTGCCGGTCTCTGTTTAATGGCGGATGAAATAAAGAAAGTGGTGGTACTTTATTTACTTTGAGCAAGTGAACGTCATGTTCAGGAGATAATTAATCCACCAGATARTTCAGAGGTGGTCTGTTCAGTGAGTTTTACTCCAGGAGCTGTGAGGCTTTCAAGCTACGTTCAGACCGAGCTCTACTGCCTCTGTTTACTGAACGCAGCAGCTGCTGCTGACGTCATTACGCTTTTGCGTGATGCTGCGTTCAGGAAAAGCACGGAAAACTCACCACTCTTATGCCAAACCGGTCACCATGATGTGTTTAGGTACCGAAACATGGTACCGTTTGATGTTACGTGAATAGATACTCGGTAGTACAGACAGAATTCGGTCTGTGCCTAAAAAAGTATCGAATTCGGTACCCATCCCTAGTGACCTCACAAATGTGCTTCTGGAAGAATGGTCAAAAATCCCCATAAACACACTCCTAAACCTTKTGGACAGACTTCCCAGAAAAGTTRAAGTTGTTCTAGCTGCAAAGGGTGGACCAATGTCATATTGAACCCTATGGATTAGGAATGAGATGTCACTTAAGCTCATTTATAAGTCAAGGCAGGTGAGCAAATACTTTTGGCAAATAGGGTAGGTAAAACAACACATGGGTGTCAAACCTTTGGACTTGTGATCTTTGGCCTCTAGTTCCACAGCACTGCGCTGCTGGAGACAAAGGCGACATCTACCCAGCAGCTCCTGCAGAGCCGGGCAGAGGGCGGGATCAACAACTTGAGGGGGCTGGACAGACAGCAGCAACACCAACGCCCTCAGGTCCTGAAACACAATGGATTAAATGGATGAATGATGACAAGCAGTCAGAGGAAGTGCTTAGATTTCAGCTTGGAGTGCTAGTATGTGGCTGTGTCTCAATTCATGAGCAGCATCCTCATGAGTGTGCGTTTGTCGGCTGCACACATCACTGCCCCGCACGGAGTACTATCCCAATTCGAAGACTCCTCCTCATGTGGCCGACAAACTCTCAGAATTCGAGTTTGCATCCGTGTATCCTCACTGGCTGAGGATATCCGAGGATTCAATGCGTGGGAAGCAAACTAAACAGGGAAATGAAGACGGTGGAGTTTTTATTTTTTTAATGAGCCGGCCTAGTCTGGAAATTCACCAGGGACCGAAGAATTTGTTTTTAAAATTAAGTTTAGGAACTTRGCTAATGAAATTTATGCTGCAATAAGATGTTAAATAAAAATAATGCAATTACAAGTGCTGATACTTATGACAGAGTATTAGTATTATAGATAATGGATGGATGGAATATTATGGCATAAAAGTCATATAAAAATAAAGTCATAATATTATGAGAATAAAGTTGTAACATTACGAGATTAAAGTCAAAATATGAGAATAAAGTTGTAATTTTCTAGCCTTTACATGAAAAAGCATGCAGTTACTACTGCATTAAAATGAGGAACGCTGAGCAACTTGTCAAGTTGTCTAGTATTGCTTAAAAATAAATAGTTAATCTTTTAGCACATTCGCATTAAATCAGTGGTCCCCAAACTGCGGCCCACGGGCCGGATACGRCCTGCCTCCCCATTTGGTCCGGCCCCCAGAACAATACCAGAGAGCATTTAGTTTTTTTTTCATATATGTGTATTTATATTTGATTATAAAGTTGGACTTTTGCAATAAAATGTTCCTTAGTTATGAATTATTTCCATTATTAACTATTATTAGTAACTATTTCATACATACACGCATATAACGTGACATTCTGTGCCCCTATCTGGCAACCCCCAGAAAAAAAATCCTAAACTCTCCCCTGTCAAAGAGAGAATGGAATAATGGCGAAAAGATTAGGTAAGAGAAAAATTGATTCAGAATGCAGGGCATTTAAGCTGCAGTGGACAAACGATTATTTTTTTGTTCATCTGCCAAGAGGCGGTGGCGGTATTCAAAGAATATAATCTGCGGCGACACTATGAATCCCGTCACAAAGACAAGTATGATAGCTTGCAAGGCCAAATGCGAGCAAACAAACTCTCAAAGCTAAAAAGTGGACTGTTAGCTCAGCAGAATACATACTGTGAAGAACCCAGAGAGGCTTATTTGATTGTGCTTTCTGGAAAACAGTAAATTTTTACATTTAGGCACTCCTGCAATGGTCACACTTTTTCTGTTACAAACTGACTCCGGCCCCCCACCAGAGAAGGGAAAAGTTATGTGGCCCTTACAGGAAAAAGTTTGGGGACCCTTATATTAAAATATTAGTAGCAGGACTTGGATWTTGTGCAAACGACTATCACTGCATGAAAACTGGGATTTTCAGCAGTTATTGACATGGAAAATTGCCGTGAAACTTGAGATTCAGGGCTGTTRGCAGGAATTTTTTGTCAGGATGGGAAACTGTCGAAAACTGACGAGAATTGACGTGGACCAAGATTTAATTCGCAACAAATTAGGGATGTAACAATTTATCAAGAATCAATTCATAATCAATTATAACAGCGTAAAATAGTCTGTTCTTAAAAATTAATGAACTATTTCAACAATAATTTTGAGCTATTGAGCGTGTCCGCACTGACACATTTTTACATGCCTACTTTAACCCCATCAAATTTCATTGGAATGAATTACAAAGTTCTGAGCCTAAACCTGTAAAAAAATAGTGATTTCATCATTTGAATCATTCTTGWTAGATTAGTTCCTGATTAAGGCTAAGTTATACTCGCGCTTTGGTCCGCAGGCTCGAGCGTGCGGAGTGTGCACGCATTGAGCCGTGCAGCTTCTGCATTTATAGTGTAGCCGCTGTGTTTATAGTTGACGCATGGTGGCGCACGGCAAAGTGCTGTTCTTTTACGGACCAGCACGTGGCAGTACGCTCTAAAACCTGTGCATAGGTTGTAAGAAACGTGTGTAGAAGAAAAACGGGCGTAGAAGAAGAAATCTATGACATCACACAACTTTATTTTGTTTTTATTTTGTTCATTAATGTTCTTATTTTAATTTCAAAGTTGAGTTTTCTTTGCTAACTAAGTGCGGGGCTATCTGCCACATTTGCCCTTGCTGACTCCTGTTTTGGCCTTGTATCTTTAGTTTTTAAGTCAACTTTTTAAGTCACTTTTTTAATAAAAGTTTTTAGTGAATTGTCTTGTCAGCTGACTCAATTTCAACTGAGGTTCATCAACAGCTCGCTGAGCTGAACGACAAGATGGTGTGCATTTCAGAGGGACTTGTTGCTCTGGAATCCTACACATGCTCTCGTGAAGAAGGACTTGGAGAAAATAATAGCATAAACTGTATCTGTGTTTCATTTATTGGGAACCCTGACTAGTTCTAACTTTAGACATTTTTTCATATATATATTCTTCAAGTCTAAAAACAAGATTGTAAAAGTACTGTTTAGTTTAGGCTAAACTGAGATTCTTCTTCCATGCTGCAGCTCTGCTGTCTCCATCCACATTTTCAGTTGYAGATGGAGTCATTTCTATRTTCTCATGTCTTTCAGGGTGCTCAGGTTTCATTTAATTATATTTATATTGTCCAAGATTAACTTTCAGAGTGGAGAAGAGCTCACAGTTTTGCAACAGAACATCTAGTAAACATGTTCATTTACCCAGAATGCTTTGCGTAAATAATGTTTCTATCCGCGTGACTGTTTTTTTAACTGATAAAAACTAAACAGCCAACAGTAATTTTCCTTTATTTGTTATGTTAAAAWWWWTTTTTTATCWAATGACTAATGTWACACCTACTTGGGGTTTGTTTTAAGAGCCGATATTTAGTTTTTTCCCCCCATGTTTTCTTATTAATGACAAAAAACCTTGAGYTTTTATATCAGCATTAAATTCTTTTTAAATAGCTTTTTTCCCTCCTTGGTTTAGTCACAGGAGTTAGTACTTGATTGAATACAACAAAACAACAAAAATTTAAATAAAATATAAAACTGAAATATGTAATCAGCCTATTTAATAATCTAACCTAGCAGCTGCACTTGAAAGTTTTAAAGTGCTTTTAATTTGTTGTGTGTGTTTTCTAAGCTGACAATCTCCACCAATTTTTTTTATTACGTTTGTTAATTTTACCCGCGCTGCTCACCTCTTTTCTTCCTCTTCTATTAATGTGCGAGGGGACACACCAGGCTGCTCCTTCTGTCTGCAGACTGTTTACAGGTTGAGGGAAGGTTGGTGCGAAAATATGGACTGGATAACAACCTGGCATGTCCTTGTGTGTAACATCACGGGTTGCGGTGAAAATGTGGACTGGATTTATATCCAGTAAATGGACTTGCGTGTGTTTTTATTTAACAAAAAAAGGTGGACCAGAGTTGAGCTTTTGGCGTTAGTCAGTTCTCAGTGTAATAAAGTGGGAGTGTGGCGTGAGAGCTTGTGAAGACCCTCAGATGAGTGTGTCTCATGCCCAATGCGTAAGACTTGAGAGCGCTGCTAATTATTAAATGAATATATATATATTTTTTATTTAACATTTTTTTAACCAGGCAAGTCCCGTTGAGATCTCAGATCTCTTGTTCAAGGGAGGCCTGAAAGCAACCTATTGTACATGTTTTTAGGGGTGGACGAAACCGGAGTACCCAGAGAAAACCCACGCAAGCACGAGGAGAACATGCAAACTCCACACAGAAAGACCCCAGGTTCGAACCAGGGATCGAACCCAGGACCTTCTTGCTGTGAGGCGTTGGTGCTAACCACTGAGCCATCGTGCTGCCATAATATAATCTTAAGTCATTGCTGAACAGGATTATTATCAATAAAAAAATTAATTAAATGTGTATTATAATTCATAACTAGAATAGTTCCTGGAGAAACGATGAGAGGCTTGCCAGCTGTGCAGCTCGTCCAATGTATCTAACTGCTTAAAATAGGTTCTATTTCGTGTAAGCTCGTGCTATGATTCCTTTTATATTGATGGAATTCGTGTCAGGCGCCACCGAGCTATGATCCGCGTAGCCGTCCTTCCGGGCTGCTCGGGGTTCGGCTTTCCCCGGCACAACCCGTTTTTTTACCCTGGTCTCCTTCCTCGGAGAAGGTTGATCGTTATTAGCTAGCATATATTTTTCCCGCGGGTGTCCCTGCGGTGCGGTATTATGCTAAGCTAAGGCGCCGGACATCTTCGTGCTTCCACAGAAGTCCCCGTTTTTTCATAGCCGCTACTAGCTCACTCGTTACACGGATGTGGTAGCTAGTAGTTAAGGCCTTCAGACATCGACGTTTCCAGCCAGGACTGGACTGGAAGCTTTTCCAGATTTTTCGGACCATACGCTTCTCATCTTCGGCATGGTCTGATCTATCTTTCTCCGGGGACGGAGGCCCAGGCTAGCGGGGTTTCCCGCTGGAGATCACGGCGGCAAACTAGCTAAGCCAGTTAGCCACCTAACTAAGCTAAGCAGTGCGCTATATCTCAGCGTGTTGTGCCGAAATTGGACCCTGTTTTTCAGTGGAGAAGCTGGAGTCAGGGTGCTGCCGCTTGGTGTAGCCTCTAGCCATGGGCGTGCTATGTAGCTTGACCAGAGCAGTTGCAGACTGCTGCTAGCTGGTTTGTAACACATGATGTGTTGGCTGTTATTGGCTTGCTCGCAACACAGAGGTGTTAGCTAGCTGGGTTAAGGCATTCAGTGGTCGGCGCTCCCAGCCAGGACTGGACTGGGAGCTCATCCAGACCGTTTAGCCAAGACGGGTTTTGCCTCTAGCATGGAGATGCTAGCTACAATGCTAGGAGTTGCTTACTCCAAGCTGAGAGCTCTGGTCTCGTTCCACGCGGACATGACAAAGTGGAGGGGATGACCGTCTTCGGTTCCCGCC